GTTGGTCGCTCGCCATCACGGCGGGGACAATTTTGTTGTTATTAGGAAAAATAAACAAACACAGAAAGACCTTACCCGTTCGAGATATGACCAAAGTCGAAGGGGATATATATGTTGGGAGTCTTGTTTTTAACGACGCTCCGACTGGTCGGAGATCAGATACAAAAGCTGTTATGCATGTAAATGTACCAATATGACTGAGCCTGTTAGCCAGGAGGGGAGGTGTCGCTAATTTCTGCGCAGGGAATCGTTAAACGCAGGTATAACAGTGAGTGTCCGCTGAGTGTACGACCTCATTGCTAATCTTCTGGGAAAAGCCTTTGGCGGGATGCCAGCAGAGCTGTGCATACGGAAGTTTTGATTTCCTGACTCAACGGAAAAAAAATCCGGGCGGCATTTTCCAAATGTGAGAACATCAAAGTACCCTTTCTTTCCGGAAAAACGGTGCCTCTTGGTGTTTTTCTTCCTACTGCTACACTGACTGCTATACCACCCCGGTATCAAGTTTTGTTTTTATGCGATCTCAATTTTCCAGCAATTGTTTTTTTTTTTTCTTAATATGACACAACAACAATTTTGCGCGACCCTCGTTCTTTCTGATGGGCGTCAACGAGCGGCTCTATCTATGATCATGAACACCGCAAATGAATCGGGATTTATTTGTTGGATGGGGAACGGACCGGGCATCATGACTTAAGGCGTCCAGACGTCCAGGGGTTTTGGGACTACAGGAGCAGCACTTTGAAGTTAGAACACCCGGGAAATTGCTTGGGATCCGGTCTCGCCATTGTTCACCATTGGTATCTGCACCACAGACACACCTCATCAGCGTCCACATGCATGCTGGGTCGCGGCGTTGTAAATTTGCAAATGCATATATATACATTCCGAAAAAGCACGCAACTCTGGTGTGCGGTGTTCAACTACTACTGCTGTAGTGGCACAACAGTGGCATAGTGGCACGGTTGGGAGTGCAGAGTGTGGGCGGGGAGGGTGTTGGTTGCTGTTGGTTCACCCAGAGAAACGACATCGTATGTTCTTTGCAGCCATAAAATGCAAATTTGCTATCTCAGCAGATCTACATTTGTCAAGAAGTTGGATAGCCATTAACCTCATCGGATATCCACGGATCCGACAAATCATCTAGTCTAGATCCGAAAGAAAGAGGATTGCTGCGGGTACGTATGCATGTAGTGCCACGCGTATTTGGGTCAGTGGGTAACAAAAGAAGGAACCATCCAGCAACACCAGTTAGGTCTGAATGATAATAGCCCGACCCCCTCCCTGCGAGGGATGCAGACAGACTTGATGGGACAAGTAGTCTAGATAAACCAGCTGCTTCCACTCCGACCTTAAGAACATAACAAGCAGCCGTTGCTGTGATGAGCTGGGCACGCCGTCGCTGCTGTGATGAGCTGGGCATACACGACGAACCAACGCACGATATCTTCGTGGCCTTGACACAAGTGCTTCCTTCAACTGCTGGAGGATGCTATTTCTATCGGCACATGGTACATACATCTAGCACGTGCACGCAGGCATTTCGAGTGCAGGAGGTTGCCGACCTGTTTTTTTCTCATGTGTCGTACGCGTATACTAGATAGCTTTATGAACGTATGGGTGTGGTACGAGGCAAGAGCCTGTACATGGGTTCGGAGGACGGAGGAAAGGGATTTTGACCGACCAATCATGTGAAATATATGCGTATGTGGTTGTGCAGTTCAAAGACGCGGCGATGAAATATGCACACAAATATTCCAACTCTGTCAAATCAGTCGTAAGTATCCATATTTCCATTCAGCAAGCTACCTGCACTGACCTGTATGAAGATATGGGTGGGCTGTTCGTCACCTAAAGAACGAAGACGTATATATGCATAGTTACTACGTGAAGAAACGGGCTCTTTAGTTCTAAGTTTCAGCCAAAATTGAAAATCCCCGTGCGCAGCCTAGCCACCTCTCCTCAACCACAACACAAAATCACAACCCGCGAGCTCACTCCACTCAACACCGCGTTACGTGCGAAACAAAGGACCTCAATCCACACTTCCCACCACCACCAGCTGCACTACTGTACCGCCCGTGGTATACAGCTCGCAGCCGGCTCACAGCTCCTTCCCGCCGCACCAAACTGCTTACCGCAGCTCAACCGCCACACTTACCCAAGCACCCAAGAGCTAAAGACAGGTGTGATGTCTCTCCCTTGGGCGATCCAGGAGATCCACCTCCCAGCTGAGGAGACAAAGGGGCAACAGCGGCGCAGCATCTTCAACGAGGACCCGTGGGCGCTGAGGAAATGCCACCAGTGCCATGAGGTGAGCGGGTGCGGGGTTCGGAGTGTGCCTGAAAGGTCGTGTTTGCTTGTTACTTCTTTCTATGCATACATACACATGCGAACGATCAATGTTTTTTGCTGCGAAACCAACCTGGCTTGAGTCATGTCGCCTTGTTGGATGGTGATGTTGCAGTGTTTCAGGGGGACACGCGCCCGCTTTCTAAACGCGCATTCGGAGAGCTCCATTAACCCTTTCTTGTCGAAGATGCATCCATCCCTGTACAAGCCCATCGGCGACGTTAGATCAATGAGTTTTAGATGGCCATAGTGTTCCCGACGAGCATCTCCGGAGGGAAAAGGCGCATGATGACAAGATGCAGAGAAAAATAGTGGCGGTCGTTCCGAATACAAGCAAGGCCAGGTGAAAGGCAACTGTCCTTGCGTGGCGACCCCCCCTTCTGTGTCAGGCGCACCATCTTTCGGTGTCGCCCCCCTTGTAGAAGATGAGTTTAAGTTTTCAAGCGGGGGGGGGGAGCATGAAGACATGTCTTGTGTGCTTTTCTCGAGGTGTGCGGTCGGGGAGAAGTGTGTCTCTCCGGCATCATCACGTTCGATCTTGCTCTCTTGATCCTGGTGTATTGCCGGTCCGATCCGGCGGGAGGTTGGTCATCTGTACATAATTGTCTCGAGAACGAGAAAAAAATATTTGTGGGAGAGCACCAAACAGACCACTTTTTCATGTGACACAAGAGTCTCGACTAGGCCCTCGTCGCGCGCGTGCGCCCCCTTGTTGACCGGCCGCCGCTCGAAACAGACTGTCCCTCTCGGCGCTGGGCGATGCTGCGCCGGTTGTAGCCGAACACACGTCGACTGCCCTCATGTTTATTACATTCCCCGGCTCCTCGCGTCGTTCCGCACGGCGTGTTCCCTCTGGCGACAAAACCAACAAGTAATCGCGCGCATATCCCAACGATGGTTGAGGTTCCACCCGCCCGCCGCCTTTTGTACCGCCATTTTTTCCGGCGTCTCGTATCTGTCTCGCGGTGTTGCTGTATCCCTGGACCTGTAACCCCCCCCCCCCCCTCGTGTGGTGTACCAAGTACCCGCGCGGCCAGCATCATCACTGGTATAATCTTTCATGTATTTTGTTTTCGTTGTCCATGCGCCCGGCACACGCATGATGTGTCCTACGAACCGAAAAGCTTTTTTTTTCCACGCCCGCCCGCCCGCCATGTTGCCCTGTGTTCCCCCTGGGCGGATTCTGGCGGTGCACCTTTTAATTCCGCAATCCCGCCCCGACGTATGCATACGTATGGCGTTGCTTCTTTGGTGTGCATAATTTTATCCCGACCCCAACACATCCAAAACAATGACGTTTGCAACTTCTGCTCTGTCTCGCGGCGGCGATATCTACGTGTGCGCGTTTGTTTTTTTGTTTTATTCTTGGTGGGCAGAATTTTATCCCGACCCCTGCGAACAACGACTTCGACTTCTGCTCTGGCGATTGCCGCTTGAGCTGCTCCATCTTGCGGCACACCAAGAAACAGGAACGGAGCCAGCAACAGCAGGGGCGCAAGAAGAAGTGACCTCGGTTGGCCAGAGGAGGAACAAAATGCAAGTGCGAGGGGCGAAAAAAGCGGTACCGATATTACTGCAACTACGTAGATGCCGGCCGATGCCTCTCGCTGTGCCAACATGGGCACAACGATGAGTCCTATAATAGCATACAGCAGGCCGATTGTCAGAACACGAGTTACTTAGGCTACCGCGCGGTAGCTGGATTGTTTTTTGAGTTGTTGTTGCGATCCTTTTCCGCTCTAGGGGGGGTAAACAGCAGTACTTTATAAGTAAGTGGATAAGCTTGGAACCTCACCGCCCCCCCCCCTTTCTGGTAATAATATGGAATATGAAGTCTGGCGTTCTTTGGAGATAGATGGCAGAAACAATTGACATATTTCGAACCACCCGTGTCCTTTGCAAAGCCTATCGTCGGCTTGCGCCATTTTATTTTCAGGGAATTATTTTTTTTTTTTTTGGGTCGTGGTCCACTTGTTTTGGAGTTTTTGTCGGGAGGTTTTGGTGGGCCATCCCACCCTTCAACGGGGGGGAGTGGTAGTTCCGTAAAAAGGTGTCACTCATTGTGTGGGAACTGTCAACTTTCTTAAGGTTATGAAGGTAGTTGGGGCGGGGGGGGGGGGGGGGCGCGACGTGCGTGTTCTCGATACAC